TATACACATATATACTATATAGATATATATAATATACATGTATAATATATACATATATGTATATAATATATCATATACAAATATATATTATATGTGTACATATAATATATACATATGTAATGTGAATTTTATATACATATATACATATATTATATATGTATGTTATATACATATATATGTATATTATATACATGTATACATTTATAAATGTGTATATATAATATGTATATACAGATATATATATTACACAAAAAAATACATATATCTTCTGGCAACATTTTTATATTTCTGTGTTAGTTGGGCCTAAACATACACTATACAAATATTAGAAACCACTGGGACCAGCAGTTAGCATAATGGCTATATTGCTGGACTCCCCAGTAGTCGACCACGGTTCCAGTCCTGGACCCAGTAGCTTAAAATCCTGCCGGGTGCATGTGCATGTGTGCCCAAGATACCAAGAGGAGAATGGAGGAGAAGGGATTGCGCCATGACCATCCCCCTGGGGGTGATTTCTCGCTTTCTGTCTATCTCTCTCTGTCTTTCTGGCAAGCGCATGTGCCCTATAGCAAAAAGCTCTTCGAAAAAAGAAAAAGAAAAACAAATATTAGAAACCAAGAAAATCCAATACAGGTTTCTTTAGACATTGATGTTCGGTGTCAAAACTCACTTTAAATTATGTATTTTTTTCAGTAGTCAACTTGACTTTTTCCTCTGCCTTTGAAACTTCCTTTTCATTCTATATCTGCTCAAGTTTGCTCGATAACAGCTTCCTAAAATGGGAAAGAAACACACATTATTCAGTAGCCCACATGGAAAATTGTCCTTCTTACCTCCTAGCAGTCTCAAGGCCTTGATTCAAAGGTTTCCTTCTACCCTCCCCTGCACATGCACAAAATGACAAACACAGTGGGAGGGAAGAATAAAAGGCACCCAGGAAAGATGAAGAATAATCAAACTCTTAAAAAATTAGTTGATCAAAGAAATAAAAAACAATTAGCTGATGACAATGTATATAGTAAGGTCTTTGTCTTCACTGATATGCATGGTATTTGTGCTAGGAAAACAATATTCTACACAGTAAAGATATATGTATTTAAATGTAAATTAAAAAAAAATCATACTGTGGCCCTCAAGTAAGACATTGGCACTTCCAAGTTTCTTTGTGCTCTGCTCATTACTATAAAAGTCAGGTAAGCTAAAAGCATCTATGTGAGGCATTAGGTGTCTTTCTTGGTCAGTTTTTTTTTTTTTTTTGAGAGATTTTCACTGTAGGGCACGTGCGCTCGCCAGACAGACAGAGAGAGACATAGAGACAGAAAGCGAGAAATCACCCCCCAGGGGGGATGGTCATGCCGCAATCCCTTCTCCATTCTCCTCTCGGGATCTTGGGCACGCACGCACACGCGCCCGGCGTGAGTTTTAAGCCACCGGGTCCGGGACATGAACCGCGGTCGACTACATGGGAGTCCAGCGACATAGCCATTACGCTAACTGCTGGTTCCCTTGGTCAGTTTTTTGATTGAGACTGTAAAAGTTCATTTTAGCTCATTGTGGAAAAGTGGGCCATCCAGCTCCTCACAACTACCCAACAGGGTGGGGCAGGGAATGAGGAGGCCATAGGCCCATCACAAGTTGGGGAACACATCTATGCAAAAAGATTTAGCATGTACAGAATTGGGCGCTATTCCCAGTTTTCCCTGGAGGTTCTTAAAAAATATACTCCGCAGATAATGGGGAAACTATTGTATTTTTTTTTTCTTTTTGAGGGAAAAGATTTGTAAACTGTAGTAGTCTAGTGAGACTATGTTGTTTTCTTCACTGAATTCTTTATTAAGAATGTCCTCTTGAAATGGCAACTGTGGTTAGAATCTCGATTTGTTCAGTCTGGAACACGCAGGCCAATTGCATGTGCTGGAGAAGAGCTTGAGGGTCAGCGATGCCAAGGGCTGCAGGACTAGAGGAAGCGTATCTGAGTGTGAGCAGACCCCGTGGAGTGTGCTCATTTCTTTCTCTCTCTTATGTGCATGCATGTGCTCTACGGTAATTAAAGAAATGATTAGAAAAATAAATATATACACTGAAATATGTTGAATGAGGGTGGGAATAGAACACAGTTCGTGCAACTATTTTCAAAATGATGGATGGGTGAACTTTTGTACAGTTCTTGCAAATTTCTGAGATTATTTTAAAATAAAATGATGAGACCGTTGACTTCCTTGCACATCTTACACTAGCCTTTAAAATATTTTTCCCAATCTAACAGGAAAAAGAAAGTCTTATTTTACGAAAACTTTTTTCATAGCACTAAGCCCTTTCTAACATACCATGCACCTTATTTACCATACCTACTGTACACCTTCTCTCTCTGTTTATTCAGTGATTCTTTTTTTTTTTTTTTTGGAGAGGTTTTTGCTATAGGGTGCGTGCACTCGCCAGGCAGACAGAGACAGAGAGACAGAAAGCAGGAAATCCCCCCCCGGGGGGATGGCCACCCCGCAATCCCTTCTCCTCCATTCTCCTCTCGGGATCTTGGGCACGCACGCACACGCGCCCGGCGTGAGTTTAAGCTACCGGGTTTGGGACTTGAACCGCGGTTGACTACATGGGAGTCCAGCGACATAGCCATTGGGCTAACTGCTGATCCCCAGTGATTCTTAATCCTTACCTCTCCAAGGAACATCTAACTTTCCTTACAAGGCAGACACCAAAAATCTGATAAAAGGCTGAAGGGATGACATCTACTGAGCCCTCAATAAATGACAGGGATGACCAGCCTTACTGCCCCCCTACTGGAAGGTAGGGGCACAAGGGCAGAGAACTGAGCTCTGTGCACTGGGACATCTCAGAACCTGGGACAGTTCCCGGCAGGCACACAGCCTCCCTTAGGTGATGTGCAGACACTAGCCCAGCTCTGAAGGGCCACAGTGGCTCCGGGGTCGGTGGTGTTCCACCCTCATGGCCACCTCACAGTCACTAGAGCAGGTTCCAGAGCTGGTCAGGTGGGTGGCCCTACCCAGGTACACGGGGCCAGGGCCGCTGCTCGGGCTCCCCGTGGCTCACTCTGTCCTGGGGCTGCCTGTCCTCGAGATCCCTATGGACTCTCACCTCCCCGGCCGCCCGGACCAGCTAGTTCGGGGCTCGCCTCCTCTTCCTGCCCTTCCAGGGGCGCCTCCTGGTGCTCTCCCTGCCGGGCTCGGCGAGGCTGTGGACTGCAGTCCGCTGGGGCAGAGGAAGCGCCAAGGCCGGGGTGCGACGTCGCCCTGGTGCCCGGTCCCACCCGGATTGTGACGTCAGCGACCCGCCCAACGACGCGGAGGGGAGGGGAGTACCAGGGGCGTCTCCGCCTTTTCCTCCACCGGCCGGCCCAGGAGCGCTGGAGGGGAGCGGGTCAGAGGCCG